CTCTCCCCCACCCCTTTATCTACACATTGTCGGGGTGCCGTTGGTTGTTGCACCTCAACTTTGCGCAACCCTGGACTTCGTCTTCCTCTGTGGGTTTATCGACAGCTATGCTACGACAAGGCTTTAGTATGGGGTCGGGTTCAAATTCTTGTGCTTGTGCCGACAAGTTGAACTCTTATTCTCCTTAACGGCCATCTTCTTAATTGCAGGCGCTGCTCAAATGTAACAGTCTGCTGCTGTAGGCAACGCTCGGCGAGTACCAACCCTCTGGGTGTTTTTACCGTAGACCGCAATGCTCCTCATGCAATAGCAAGCGCTTTACGCTTTACCTGGCTTGGTTGACAGGCGGGTCCCTCACACGACGATGCCATGGCGACGACGTGACCCAACAGCTCAAGGGCAGACTTCTGGATGTCATCGCAGGACGACTGGCAATCTTCTCGGCACGCGAGAAGAGGGGTCGACGGCGACAAGAAGGGGAGTCAGTCTTGAAGTTGGGTGAAGTTTCCGATGATCAGTCCAACACAACTTTCCACTGCGTTGCGTGCAATATACGTCAATTTTAACTTTTACTTGCAGGTGGTGTGGATGCTGCCAGAAGGAATTGGAGAAACAGGGCATCGAGCCTCCAACACCACCGGCATCTCGCGTAAGGGACGGCTCGAAGACAAACAGTAGAAGACTTAACAACCGCAGTTAGCCCAACGAAGAGCGGGGCAGAAGACGAGCCCCATACGCTGCGCTCTCTCGTACGTAGATGACACAGGGGTAAATGTTCCACATCTCAACGTCGTGCGGAACCGCCTTTAATCGGCGCAGAAGTCTGTTGGTACGTCGGAAGCACAGCAGTACAACATCTCTTCTGGTAAAAGAGTTGCGAATTTGAACGCCATTTTTTTTTATTCAAAATATTTGAATAATATAAGAGCGAAATTGCATCGGAAAATAGATCGGTTGCAGTTGTTCTGCTCTTCCAGGCCTGCACTTCCTGGCCTGCACACGCAGGCGCCAGCCGGTCGTGAGCAATTGCAACAAACACCTGCAGGCACTTACCCCTCACCAGGACCCGCAGGATGGCACCTCGCTGCCGCTCGAAAGCTCTGGATGTAGACTCCTCGTCGTCTCCAGCGAGCCCCTTCGCGGTGATAGCCTGGTAGAGCTCCAGCCGAGCCACGTCGCCTCCAGCAGCGGACTCATGCCAACAATCGGCCAGCTTTTTCAGAAGCTGTTCCATGTTGTTCACATGGGGCACGTGTGTGGTGAGAAGAGGATCGTGTATCTATGTCATGCTGTCGGAAGAGCTGGACGGCGGGGGCGCGAGCATACCCCTCATCAGGTTTCCATGTATGCAGGCAGAGCCCCCAGAACCAAGCGTTACAAGGTACGATGTTACGATTCACAACGACCAGCGAAAACCCCTCACCTCGAACCTCTAGGGAAACGACGGACACATATGCACGACAAAGAATTATTCCTAACAATTGTGGACGCACGCGCTGCACAGGACGGCGGGTTGCTTGTCAGGTGCCTTGACAACCCCATACAACAAGAGCACTCTTGCGTTCATTTCTGTAGGTTGTGGGAGGACGATGGGAGCCGCGGGGTCTGTCGGTGTCGTCGACCCCGCAGTCCTGCGAAAAGAGTATGAGGCTATGGCGGCGAAGGAAGTCGGGGACGAGGAACTCCTTAACCACATGAAGAAGCTCATTATCTCTCCGCAATCAGGTGGGCGCATTGGACAGCATTTTCCTGCGGTCGTCGACGGCATAACAGTCGGTCTCGCGATACAAGAAGTGCACGAGGCACCCTCAAGTATTTGAATCCCTGCACAAGATTAATCATGGTCGTAGCGGCTAGCCTCCGTGCAACTGCGCCCTTCTTCTTCACCACAGCTTCCAACCATCCTTTGCAAGAACCGCGTAGCACTTTGCGGCGTGAAAGAGAACAAAAACGTGTGTCGTCATCTAGACTCCTTGATGGGCGTACCACTCAAGGCTGTCTCTTGTTCGTGTCATATTGTAGCGTCATCTGTGCAGGCCTCATAAGTTGAAGGAAGAGCACCACTTGGTACAAGTTGTTGTGATGCTGAGTGCGTTCCCCGAGGTGTGGGTCTTGCATTCTCCACTATGCCCGATTTCGCGGCTGGCTAGATTACGTTGTGAACGCTCAAATTATCGCCTAGCAAAGAACACGACGCCGCAGCAATTAGCCCCATCTCCCTATTTGTTCTCAATCCGGGATAACAGAAGCGGTAGACAAGCCGAAGACAAAGGAAGCAGCGCCCAATGTCGAAGGCACCCGACGATCACCAGTGAGGCGCAGCTCCGCAGCAGCATCCGGGGTGGACAGCGCAGCAGCAGGGGGACCAAAAGCCAGGCGCGGCTCTGGAGGAATCGCTGCGTCCGGTGTCGAAGGGGGCACGGCGGGGAGCGCTGCAAGGCGTGGTTCGGCATCCAGACCTCTCTCCCACAACAGTCGGTTCTCTCACAGTAGTAGCAGCACGCAGGCTTCGCAGCAAAGGTATCGATTTGGTCTTAGCTTCGACTGTTTTATGTAAATATTTTGAAATCGTATGAATACTTGTAACAAATGGACAGAAGCACTTCTACTGTTGTGTACGAACTTCAACGAATCAAGACAACGCAAGAGATGTATGCCTACACACATGAATATGACTGGACGACACTAATAGGCCAGAGGTAGGTGTCCCCGTAGTATTTAGCCCACTATTTTTCGGAGCCAAGATTCCGCAACATGCAAGTCCTGCGCGCTGTCGGCCTCTCACATTTCTGTCGTCATAAACTACCGACTCCGCAGAGAGCAAACTTCTAGGGGGCTAGGGGGGCGCGTTTCGTGAAGTCGCCCCACAATGAGGGAAGAAGATACGACGGCGACAATCTTTTGTTGGACGATTGACCAAAGAATGCCCCAGAAGCAGCCGTGTTCGAAGCTCCTTGTCATCTCTCCGCGGCGGGAAAAGACGAACGTCTGCAGTTGGCTTTTCCTCTTCCCCAGAAAGACATTTCCAACGTAACGCGTAACCACTGAGTTTCTTCCTGTTGTTGTCCGCAGCAGGCGTGCTTCAAACGCTCGTCGCTCGAGCGTAGACAGCGACCGACCCCTGTCGGCGCCCCAGACAAAGCCGCCGGTCCCTAAGCAGCGGCCTCGTAGCTCGCTCGGGGAGGAGAACGACGGAAGCGGCAAGCCGACCAAGTCTAGGAGAAGATCATACCTCGGGCAGCCGGTAATGCCACCTTACTACTACTATCCCATACCGTCTATATTTACGCACTTTTGGTAGCTGTCTCCTCAAGTCGCATCGAAACATTCAACATACTGAAGAATGGTACTGTATGAGACCCATGTACAAGTGTTTTACAGGCGGTTTCTTTTCATGATTATTCTGGTGGTTGCTGATGGATGGGCATGCCATTCAGACTGCTGGACAGGGTGGGGATGCCGTGGGCGCCGCTGCGGCGGTTGCAGTCGATGCGTCGGCTGCTGTTGACGGTGCTGCGCCAGCTCAGGACGAGCCAGCAAAGGACGAGCCAGCTCAAGACGTCCAGGATATCAAGACAGACAGCTGGGAATCGGTCTCGCAACAGCCTTCGTGGTGAGTCTCATCCCAACCACAGAGGACATCGAAAATAGAGTGAATGTATTATGAGGGAGTGGATGTTGGCAAATTACCAAAGTGTTGCTGGGTTTGGGCACTGTTGTACCACGATGTACGAATACCTATGTCCTCTATATTAGATGGTGGCGATGTGACTGTATCCAGACTCGGCTGAATAACGAGCGTGTATAGTCTGTCACTCCTGGCCTTTAAATAGTTGCTCTCCCCTTGGAAAATGATCTGCAATAACTTTCTTGATGATCCGTTGCGTGTCCACGTCGCGCGCACAGCCCACTCTGCCACATGGTTTTCTCGACGGAAGGAAAGAGGGACCAGCATATTAAGTACTCCCCGGCGCACGCTCCCCCCGCAGAGGGTTCAAATCCCCCGCCCGAGCCCACCATGGACAGCATAACAATCTATTCCGGCTCGAAGCTATTCTGGCGCACTAGGCTGAACGTGGAGATGTTCATGCAGCAGCACAAAACGGCCAACAACGTTGTTCAAGCAAGTGGATACTTTTTGTTTGGGGGGGGGTACGAATGCAGTAGTCGGTAGACAATAATCGCGTCCCTACAATGCCGGGACGGAGCGATATGGCGGCTTTTCGCCTGGGGGGGGTGCAAGTGAGGGAGCCACTGCTGCATAGCGTGACGGGGGTGGGGGGGTGGGGGGCAACATAAAGGCTCCGTTTCGGAGCGTCTCTTGATGCAAATGTATGTACGTTCCTATATGATGGAAATCGTGACGAAAGAATTCCCAATGTGATGAACGGCGTTAACTCTCACTCCACCCTCCAGGTCGTGATTCACGTTCATCTTTTCGCTACTTCTTTTACACTTTTCCTGTCNGGGGGGGGGGGGGGGGGGGGGGGGGGGGGGGGGGGGCAACATAAAGGCTCCGTTTCGGAGCGTCTCTTGATGCAAATGTATGTACGTTCCTATATGATGGAAATCGTGACGAAAGAATTCCCAATGTGATGAACGGCGTTAACTCTCACTCCACCCTCCAGGTCGTGATTCACGTTCATCTTTTCGCTACTTCTTTTACACTTTTCCTGTCACGGCAGATAGTGATATTTGACGCCAGCACTCACCAAGAGCTAGCACAGGTGTGGGTGTCCTGGAGTGCAGTGGTGGCGAAACTTGACGCCAAGGAGATGAAGAATGAGGTTTGTGTGCAGAGAAATGCTTCAAGACTTGTTTGTTCTTGAGACAAGGAGGTGAACACAGAGGTAGTCAAGCAGGAGAAACTCATACTTACATGTTCAAGGGTCTAGGATACACTCCCCCACGTATTCCCTTCTCACCTTTGGAACAACACCGTAAGACGAGGCAGGAAGAAAGATCCACGCGTGGAAGACACCCGGATGACAATCTCGTGTTCGTTCATACCGTGCAAATCTATCCCGTCCCGCTGTATACAAAATCAAACATTCAGCGCTGCTTTGTTATAGCGTGAATTAACTCGAAACGCGGTGTACATGTGCTGACGCGCGGCAGATGGACGCGGCGGAGAGGGCGTTCCACAACCTTGGCATGAAACCGACGCCCGAGAACGTGCAGGCGGAGGCCACGCGGAAGGCCGCAGTGTCCTTCATCATCAAGAGAATACAGGTGGATCGGGAAGATAGTCCCGAGGAGGCCGGGGGGCCCGCGGTGTCTCACAAGGTGTCCATGCTGCAGATGGCCGCGGACGAGGACGGGATGCAGCTGCTCATGGAAAAGCCGGAGGGTGTCAACGACACCTTCAGCCGAGCGATGTCGAAGCGGGCTTCAATGTGAGGGAGCACACTCGGTAGCGGGAAAATTCTGTGCCTGGACGGGTGGGGGGGGGGGGGGGGGGGGGGGA